TTTCCTGCTGTACAATGTAAACATGAAATAAATTAATATATCTATATCCAATCCAACCTGGAATTATAAAAAAGAACAAAGTAAAAATATTGTTTTATATGAGAAGGTTCCCACTAACCACCACAAAACATGAGTTGGCAGAAGTAAAATTATGTTGTATCTAATTAAATGGGATATAAAATAATAATGATGAATTCTTTATTTCACTATACATTTTTCATTCAGTGAATGTACTGTGATTTCTAAAAAAAAAGCTTTTTGTGAAGCAAGAGACAATGATTTGAAAAAAGAGATGCAACTGACAGCCCATTCTTTTAATACATAATATTACAGTACATGATATAGGCAAAATCCAATCAGGCATCAGAATATTAATTTGTACTTTTAGGATGAAAAGTTAATTACGGCACAGTTATATTTGGTATTGTCACTATCACACAATTATAAAAGCTCAATACTGTCTGTAGAGTTCTGTTTCCTTGAGCCTGCAGTGTAAAATTACTGTCATTGTAAATGTTCCAATTTTCACTGCCTAATGACATCACCAATTAATGCTCAATAGAATTGTGCATAAAAATTACTGAGCTTGACTGGATTTTACAATTGGCAATACAGTATTTTAAAAATAGTTTTGTACCAGTTCCACCACCACTCTGGAACTGGACCACATTCTATCTTTCCATCATAAGTCCCAAAAAATCCTTATGTACAGTATTCTAGTTATTTGCAAATGTTTTAAACTGGAATGTATTCTGTACACAGATACTGTGGACTGGGCATTAGTCTGTAAGTTACATATTACTTCCACTTATTTACTTAAAGTCTGACAATCACAAAAAAGGTTTGCCACTACAACCATTTTGTTTTGGTATCAGACATTAACTTTGACACAAAGATTATCTTAATTCTTTAATGATAATTAACCCCGAAGGCAATTAGTTACACAGTATCAGCCATTATGCCCATCTGGTATTAGTGCGTATATATTAGAAAAATTTGTAAAAATTCAGCATTGACAAGAGAGGTATCCTAAATGACATGAAATTGTGGTGAAAGACTGTACATCTATGCATACCTGATTAAACTTTTAAAAGATCCAAAGGAAGAAATTCAAATTATGATATTCGTTATGAATAGAGTAAGAAATTGTACAAAACAGCAAGTTTTTAATTTTAAAGTTACATCCGTTTTAATTTATTCTCACAAACCAACAGGTTTGCAGATATTTCTTTACCTTTCTAAGGATTGCTAATCATTTGTACTTACACTGACACTAAATGTAAGTCTTAATAATGATTTGCATGATCTTTGACTATCTCAGTCATAAATTTTAAGTTAGTATATACACATATTTATTCAGTTGTTGGACCATATAATCCAGTTAACACTGTATGGAACCTAATAATTATTATCTTTTCTTTAATTGCCTTCAGGTTTGCTGTGTACTGTTATTCAATAACATTAACATTTACTACAGCATCAAGATAGACACAATTCATAACCAAAGAAATTATTTTGAAGTCCAATATAAATTGAGTTGTGTATTAAAACACTTATGGATGTTGCTAGACAGTTTTCAGACGTGAAACAATTACGTGACGTAAGTTGACAATATGACAGAATTAACTCTGAAAAATGTTAACCAGGCAGGTGTTCACATCAGTAGTAATTAAAACTTAAAATTCAGTTTTTCAGACATTGGCATAATATTTAAACACCAGAATGAACTACGCGTATGTGCAAATATTTTACCACAATGAATCTCTTATTTTTCTTTCTTCTACTGGTATGGAATAATATATTCAAATGACTCTTCACCATCGTCAAGAAGTTTTAGATTTGATAAAAAGTCTTTGCTGTGCTATTTTTAACAAAATCAAACCTCTACTATACACTGCATGGATAACCAAATACCGTGTTGAAACATTTGGCACTGGAAAATAAATTGCCTGAAAGGTGCATAATCATGTTTCATGATACATGATATTCATTCATTTCCCTTTGCATTTAAACACTTTCAAGACTCGATAAGGAAGAGGTATGAAGCAATGGTTTTCTCTCATGGCGATACAAAGATTTAAAAGTTCTTATTTTTGTTTCATGTTCTCTGCTTTGTGCTGCAATTTTCTGACAAGTGAATAAGTAACAGATGTACGAATATAAAAAATTTAGTTTTTATTTGTATGTACTAAGGTAAGCAGGTGATTTTCTATTTGCAGTAACCTAAAGGTTAAAAGAATTTTGCTTATGTTTTGCTTTACTGACTGTTTCTATGTTTAAAGTAAAGAGGTTCACTGTGCACAAAAGTGGAAAGTATTAAACAGGTGATTTGATGACATTATAGGTAGACATGTAAGGAAGAATGCTATGTGTTTTACTTCACAGTCTACTGAATCAAATCTACCATACAGACAATATTCAGATCCTGTCTCTAGCAACATGAATATGGAACAGCAGTTCTGTGACTAAATCATGTGCATAAGACAAAATCTGTGCTCCCTTCCAAAACAATGGACTCCCCTTGCAGCAATCAATTCTTTTACAAACATTTCCTTATTCAATTTCAATACCATGGTAAGATAATGTCCCACCTGCTTCTACAATCATTTATTCTTCATTTTGAATTTATGGGTTTCGTGTGATTCTCGCTGTAAACAGGGATTATTTTCTTAAACAACATTAACCAGTCAATCTTTGTAATGGTAGAGTTGTTTCCTTTGTGGTACAGACAGAGTTCCTAAGTAATTTTAAGTGAGATCGACTTCAAAGGGCTAAACATTTTACAAGTAATTTCCATCAGTGTCCTCTTCAAAAAATGTGGGCACCTAGCTTCAAATCCACGTGTTATTACAGCCCAGAAGATAAACATCTTCACCACTGTAAGAACCTCATATCTCACTCGTGGAGGAGAGTCATTACTTGGCAGTCAAACTACAAAAAATTTATAGCACTGAAATGGTTAAAAAAGGTTCACCAGAATCACCACACAGCACGATACAGTTTCTAACATTCAGCTCTTGTGTCAAGAACCCATATCTGAGTTTACAGAAATGCAACACTTCATTATTTTCAGAGCTTTCATGACAAAGTAGATGTTAACTTTTATCATTTTGGAACAGATAAAACTTTACCAATGTTTCAGAGATGCTTGCTGCCTCCGTCAACACCCTAATGATTGAGGCAGCAGCCAGCTCTGATATGTCAGTAAACTTCTACCAGACTATGTGGTACAACAACCCAGAAGACAGCCATCTTGGCACCAATGGTCAGTAGTGGCCAGGGTTTCAGACAAACATTCTGTCTCCACCTTCATGAAAAGTGGCAATGCTAGGAGGTGGAGGTATCTATATAGGGGTAGAGGAAAGGAAAACCAATGGAGCAGGCAAATCAGAAATGAGGGGAAAAAGGTCTAGGTCAATAAGGAGTCTCCCTCCACTTACCAATATCACCACTTCAGCCCTAAAGATCAAGACAGTGTGTTTCTCTGAAAGGTTGGCATCTACCAAACCCACAATCACCATCATCATCTCCACTTCTGTGAAAATATCAAATCTCACTAAAATGTTATATATTCCTCTTATTAGAAGATTAAATGTTTCTAAACCGGCATAATGTTGTATTGTATGAAGTCAGGCTTAATGTTTGAACCAACACAGAAACTGTGATTTTATTACTGACTTCACTCACAGCTATGCAGAATATTCATATGGTACCATGGATGTTATATATTTTTTTGTAGTAGTGGTTTTACCTTGATATGTATGGATATTATTAGCAGATCTATAAAATGATAAGTTCTAAGGATGAACACTTTTTAGGCTTGTTCCTGAAGTCAACCAGTTTGTAATCAAGTTTCACTTGATTTTCTTTTAAATTTGCATATCTTTAAACAACAAACATTCAGTGCTCAGTGCAATACTGCAACTTATTACTGGAAGCATGAATGGTGAAGGAGGTCACTTCTATTTTCTCTTACCAGTGAAAGTCAATGGAAGATAAGCGCATACTTCAAGCCTGTACTAGGGTAAGTTTTAGAAAAAACTAAATTCCATTATTTACCTAGTCACTCATAAAGGATATAGGCACAAGCTTCACTATAAAGTTGAATATCATTTATCAAGAACAGTGAGACATGATTTGCATCATTTTCATGTGTTAATAAATCCTAACAATTAAATGATTCTTTACTTGTGCTACAGAACATTTGGTCACCCATTTCTGCTAAAATTGCTTTTACATGGCCCTTAAGTCAAACTTAACTGCCAATCTAAGATGTATTTTAAACAGAGAGCATTTTTGTATCGTAACTACATATTTCTACTATATAATGCCCCACAGATAAATTAAGTAGTGTAGCCATCTTTCCCTTTACACTTCATATCACAAAATATAGAATGATCAAATAATAATACATGCAAGTGCAGCTCCATTAGTAAGGCTGGCCCTAATACTCTGATTCCGAATAAAAGAGAAAGCTTTCAACAAAATATGTAACCCGGATTATTGTTCTACTTTACTAGCCATATTTGCCTTCACTTTGTAGACTATGCTGATGTTAAATAAAATTGATTTAAAAATCGGTTGTCAGGGCAAATCTGCACGTTCAATGTCCATTAGATGTAAAAAGCAAGAAGGGAATTAGAGGAGCAGCAGATAAAGAAGCATATACTGTCCATATACAGTACTTTTGTAGCTCAGTGTCAGAGTTCCTATGTCGGTAATATCTCTGGAATACATA